CCTGCACGGCACAGCCCATAGCTTCTCTGCGTTACTCAAGCCCCTTCGCCACGACAAGGCAGCAATCCGTGAAGAAGTCATATCGCTTAGCGATGTTAATTCGTTCCGAAAAAATCGCTGCTAAGCGAAACGCAGTTTCCCATTGAAATGCATTGAAAACCAGATAATCCGTTCCAATAGGAACGAATTGCCGTCCATCACCAAATCGCCATAGGAAACATCGCTAAGTAAAACGCGGTTCCCCAATTGAAATGCACTGAAACCTATTCAATACATCTCAATTAGGAAAAAAATACAACAACAAATTAAAAAAGAGTCAGAACAAAGTCAAATTTGGTTAACAAAGGGTTTATTAAGTGCACTTTATGATTTCAAACATTTTAAACAGTAAACTTTAACGTTATAAATAACAGATAAACATTTAAAAAAACAACAAACATGAGGCTGTTTAAACCATCGTTAAGCGAAACAGGGGACCCAAAATTTAATCACTATACGAAGCATGGTCCCAACCATCGCTAAGCAAAAATTGCCCATAGGGACCATCGCTAAACAAAGCGCATAAATGCTCCAAAAAAGTCATCACTAAGCGATTTCATCGCTAAACGGAGCGCCCGTTAAGCGAGGCACCACTGTATATAAATGTCAGTAGAAAATTAGTCATTAGTCAACTTTCTTTGTTTCTCAGAGAAATGTTTGACTGAAAATGAATACAAATTTAATGCTGCATTGTTGTTAAACTATGGAAATGACAGAGAAATTAAATGTAATAACTCTTCCTTCACTTAATCAGTTTGCAGCATTTGCTGATTCATTGACTGAGCCCCCCTCAAATATTTTTAAATGAAAAAAGGGGTCAAATAGCAAAAAGTATGGTTTAATAGATATGCAGCCATTTTAGGCCACACCCCCATCATCCCACACTGATTTCTGCCCGAGAGGCCTTTTTTTTCAAAACAAGAAGTGACCAGTCAGAAAACAGATGATAGTGATGGTCACAGAATAGGGAGTGGTGGTGGCTGGATATGGGCTGCCTAGAACATAGGAGATGAATGTGGATCCCAAGTCCTTTGGAAGTTGCTGACTTCTAGACCACGGGCTAAGATCCCTATAAATACTTTGTAAACTATTTTCTTTAAGGGAGTTCCTCCACTCCTCCTTTAAAGGGATAATACCTGAGAACAGGTGAAGGATCGTTAAATTATCAGTATCAATAATTATCCAGTTTCGTTAGGCATACTTTATAGTATGTACCATTCATTTTCCACCTCATTGTTTCCAATAACAGTGAAAATGAAAATGAACAATTTGAGGGACCTTATATTTTTTAATCACATTTCTGCAAACCCCAGAATTCCTCAAATCCTCCACAGAGCTGCAACACATTCTCATTGTTTTCAGGGTACAAAAACAGATTCCCAATCCAGTTTTTTAAACTGTTTCTAAGATTATTGTTATGATTTTAATAGTTCTACCTTTTGATGTGTTAATTTTTCTGTTGTAAACCCAGGATAAAATGTAATCCATAGGGTCCTTTCCAGTTTTGCAGTTCTAAGATTATTATAAAATAATTGAAAAATATAAGTGCCATTTCCTCTCTCATATTTTGACTATCCAGGTTTTGTACTCACCCCAATAGTTTGCAAAACAGTGAGAACAAGTTTACATTTATGTCTTAACATATGTAATGGGATGAAACAATCTGCATTTTTATATTAAAACATGCTACATGATGTGGAACCCCACATCAAAAATAATAAAAGCACCTTAAAAGTGTATTCTATATTCATAGGGCTAGCATAATTTAAAATGAACACTGTAATCTGTTTTATAATGTAACATATTACTGAGCTATAACTCCCTTTGGCCAAAGGAAAACCCTTTCTGTTCCAATTTGAACATGCAGGCATTTCTTATTCTTTGTACTGAATATTACAGATTTAAGCAAAACATTGAAGTTTGGAAGACTTACAGTTTCTTCTAGGTATTTCAGCTGCTGATCAATTTCTTTAAGCCGGTTTTGCTGATTACGTTCTTCTTTAGTGTCTCTTAAGACCTTTTCACCTGGAATTGTTTCCAGCTTTCTATTTGCATAAGCCAAAGACTCCTAACAAAAGCAAACAATAATGGAATCGCTGAATTGTAGAAAAAGAAGGGAGACCATCCTGACCAATCCCCCTTCCCTAGGCCCCCTGTACACCAAAAGTCTCCTACAGATTAGTCTGCATCAAACAGATTATTGAATACCATCAACAGAAAATGGTAAGAGTGACTGTTGTACCAAGGAATATGCTGAGTAAAAAATCATTAGCTCAGTTCAAACTATGTTCTACACATTACAGGAAAAGAAGACAACTTTCAGAATGAAAAAGGAAATTTGACTCTTGGAGAAATTCCTTTCTAACAAGAAATTTGGTCCAAGCTCTAGTATGGTATTTTATGTTGTTAGGTGTCTTCAAGTCAGAACCAGCTTATAGCAAACCTAACAGGGCTTCTAAGGAAGCAAGATATATAAGGAGTGGTTTTACCAATTGCACACTCCCAATGAGCTTCCACAGCTGAACAAGGATTCAATCCCAGGCCTCCTGAGTCTTAGTCCCTTACTCAATCCACTACACCACACTGAAATCCAAATGCAAAAATAGGTGATACCTTTATAGACCACTAAACAATCATCACATAATAAACAAGCTTTCATAGAATAAACACCCCTTCATTGGGATTGTACCAGTGTAAAGTACTTAAAGTCCAAAACTTGAAGTTCAAAAGTACAAGATTTTTTTTGCCAGGAAAGTTACTCTTAGATGTTAAATCCACTAGTTCTTGGCAATCTGTCAGGCTTTTCTGTTTTAGATCCAGTGAAGAGTCTGGTTTCTCTTTTATGATTATAATTTAGGTAGCCAATGCTTCAAACAAAGAAGCACAGGCTCCCCATTTGGCCTTTGTTTGAAACAGCTATGTTTCTGATTGGGCGGGTGTGTGTGTGTTGACACAGAAAACCAAAGTCCTCCATATGAGAATTGGGGTGATAATTGAGTAAACTCACTAGGTTTAGCCAACTGAAGCCAGAGTAAAGCCAAAATGATATTACCTAGTGATTGCAGTCCTTCTCTGCTGATGTTGAGAGTCCAAGTGTCTTCTTGTTGGTACGGGGCAGGCTATTTCTTGGTATCCTTGTTGTTCCATTGAAGTAAGTGGCAGGCATGTGGTCATAACAAAATACCATCCAAATGCAAAAAATTGGCAATACCTTTGTAGACCACTAAAATTTACACTGGTACAATCCTGATGAAGTGGTGTTTAATTCATGAAAGCTCATTTATTGTATGATGATTATTTAGTTGTCTATAAAGGTTATCACCTATTTTTGCAAATAGTCCACTGAGAGTGCACTGAATGGAAACGCACTCCAATACAGTAACCAATTGTGCAGGAGAACAAGTGGAATGGAGATTTTCTTCATAGAGATCCCAATTTGCACAACAGCAGTGATTGTGCAAGTGGCATGATCCTATGTTACCATGTGAGCTGGACTTCCCGCCCAAGAGAATCTCCTAAGATCCTGTCCTGTTTCTTGAAGAAGGCATTTGGTTAAAGATATTCACAGCTGTTGAATGTCTTTACTTTTTAAAAGATGTAATGTTTAACTATTGTTCTTATAATTTTGCTAACATTGTGATTTTTTAACTTCGGCTTCAGCAAATTGTTTGAAATACTTTATAAACCACAGAGTGCTGCCCTCTGAAGGTGCCGGCCACAGAGACTGGCGAAACGTTAGGAAGAACAACCTTCAGAACACGGCCAAAGAGCCCGAAAAACCCACAACCATATTTTTAAATACTGATGAATCTGTTCATCTCTATGATAAACAATGAGGATGAATCAATTAATTTCTCAGAGAATCAGGTTGGTTGAAAGTTCTGAATATATTTATTCAGAACACATTCACGTGGCTCTCCAAACAGATAATAGCCTGAATTATAGTTAACCCATGCTACCATGCTAACTGTCAAGCTGGCCGGATGTATGGCAATATCACCTGCTGAATTCAGCATGACTGTCAAAAATGACTGCAACAGTTCTTAGGGGCTGCTGCCAGGGTATGGAATTCTTTCTCACAGGAGACTGGGCTGATCCCCTCCTTGCTGCTCTCTTACCTGCTGATAATGACTATTTTCCTCAGGTAGGCTTTTAGTAAGTAACTAGCTGCCATGGGTTTTTAAACCCATTGAGCCATTGGGGATTTAGTGAGCCAACTTCTCTGTAATTTCAATTGATTCAATGGGCCTACTCTACTTATTGCAGTTTTAGCTATCTTAATACTTGCTTTTTAAATGTTTAGTAAATCATTTTGAGTCCCTTTGTTGGAATAAAGACAAGGAATAAATAAAATAAATAGGCCAAGGAATAAATTGAAATCTCAGCTTTTTCAAACACTAACTTCTGAAACATGGTTATAAGTTAATTAGTTTAAAGCTCAGTGATAGTGGCAAGCACACAATCTGACAATGAATAGCGACTGTGAGAATGAACTATGAATTAGCAAGTTTCCAGCTCGGATACTTCTCCACCATGAACTGACCTGGTAAACATTTTTAAAGTCTCTCTTTTAGCTACAGAGCACTATCTCTAATGTAGGTAAATATAACATTACTAGCCAGTGCAATCCCACCTGGAGGTTAGAAATCTTTTCAAGCCAGCAGATGGTGACTGCTAGTCCAATGGCTTTTCTAAATCTGAACCTCTTCTGCCACCTGACTGCAGAGATCTACCAACAGAAGTACCGTAGTTTGGGGCAAATCTGTTCTGTAGCCTAAGACGTATCAACAGAAGAGTTGAAAAAAACAAATGGGAGGATCCATGTTACTCCAGATCCAAACCTTCTTCAGCACATTAAGACAGCCACAATGCTAGAACACAGTTAAGCTAAGTTGAAGATAGTAATTCCCCATATCTCTAGACTGGGCAGGGTCCAGACTTAGCACATGTCCTCCTTTCTTGTGGCATCAATATGCAGAATGAAATTCTGCTCAACCATAGCAAAGTCTGCATCTACTTTACTATCGGAACTCAATTGTGATCAGAAGGTAAATCAAGATTTAAATTCTCAGTCTAGTTTTTAGGTTGAGCATATGCCCACAGGCGTCTCAGCCCCTAATTATAAGAATATAGAAGCCACTAGTCAGAAACCTCTGGATCCACTTTTTTATTTGGCTCTGGTTTGTTTTGAGAGTCTAATAAAAACAAAGTGGACCCACCATGCCTGAAGTCTGCTAACCTCTTACTTCATGGAGCTAAAAATTAAAATCATGAATGTTATTTTGCTAGGGTGACTCTAGCGTTAAAATGTAGAATTAATCTTCCATAACATAAGCGCACAAACTGCTTCATTTAGAGTAAGATTACATGGTTAAATACCATAGAGCTTGCTCAACTTAAAAAATGGGTGATCTCAAATTATTTTTTACTGACTGCATGATGCAAAGGTGGATTCAAATTGCTCCAGCCCTTTTTGCTTCCAAAGTGCCTCCCGCCCCTGTCACTCTGGGCCTCCTGCTTTTTCAAGCTGGAATTATTCAAATGGGCCTTTTCCCATGTGATTAGTTGTGAATAGAGATGAGCATGAACCACTGGCTCAGCAGTTTGTGCTTGTTTGTCTTTTGGACAAACAGGTGTTTAGCGGTTCCTAGCCCTGCCTCCTCCAGCAAGCAGCCAATCCAGGCAGCACCCTGGCTTCCCTGTCCTACCTCCTCCAGGTATTGCCTCTGAGTGGGTGCCCATCAGAGGAGGCGGGGCTGGGAAGCACCAAACACCTATTCATCCAAACCAGAATGAACTGTCAAATCAGCAGTTCATGCTCATTTCTAGTTGTGACACATTCTTGTAAAGACAGGGGATGTCTTCAGGTGGTGTTTCAGTGATGTAGGCAGTGGAGCATGATGCTGAAGCCTGGGGAGACATGCAAAAGCAAAGCAATGTGGTTTTAATGCAGGATGGAGTGCTAGTTCTGAATTCTCTCAAACACAGTAAGCTTCAGATCGTGGGGGAAGGCCCTTTCATTGTGAAGCAAAAGCTTACTGCTGTTCATTGCATGAAAGGGCAAAAAGTGGATTTTAAAAGTTTATCATGCCGATAGTTTAAAACTTTATGTGACCAGAGATGAAGTAATTCCTGTATGATACTTGAAAGTAAGGGGAAAGAATAATGGATGAGAAGAGGAAGTTGGTGATCCCTGTTATGGAATCATTCTGATGTATGAATTCTGATCTACAGTAGGACCCAATTATCTGTGGAATCAGTACCAACTAATCCACTTATCCACAATCTGAAAATATTAAAAATGTTAAAAGAAAAATCCATATATTTTATATATCTATATGTATCTATATAACGATGAAGTTAGTAATCCTGAATCAATCTGTAGCCCCTGTGTGAACATTGATTGCAACTTCAAACGTAACATAGTCTGCAAATCAAACTGCAGCAGTGTAGTTGCACCCTTAGCTAACTTTCAGAGGGGAAAACAATATCTTATCGGGTCATTGCACTATCCATTAGGAAAAAAACTATTTCACAAGTCAAGAAATTATCTGAATTGAAAATACTTCTGTGGGAACCACAACTTCAGTGTAACCACAGCTTCCACACAGCCATGCAAAATTCTTATGTTTTATGTTCTAAGTCTCACAGACTAAGTTCAATATGTTATTGCCTTCCATTTTTATATTTATTTTAAAAAATATTTAAAACCGTCCTTTCTAAGCAAAAAGGACCCAAGTCAGCTTACAACAATTAAAAGTTAGTATTTAAGCTAATAATAATGAGTATACAACACTATACAATCAATCATGAATGCAACACCAAAAAACATTCAATGCAGTAAGGTACAACAATCCATTTAAAAAAAAAGATTTGGCAGACATTCATCTAAGGAAAGTTTGCCTGAAGAGAAAGCAGGCTCATAAAGGGATATGCAATCCTTGAGATAGCTTTGGCTCAAGCCATTTAGAGCTTAGAATCATCACTTTGGATTTTGCCTAGAAACAGATTGGCACCTAGTGGAGTTGCTGTAACAGGGACTGTGTGATGCCTGTGTCCAGTCCTAGT